CAGCCCCGGGCTGCCGGACCCCGTAAGGAGGGACAGGGGCTCATGCTGCTGCACAGGGTGGCAAGGGGAAAGCAGGCCGGCACCTCACCCGTGCCCATCAGAGCACCGGCGGCTGCGGTCTGCGGCTTGGCTTCGGGACTGTGTTATGGCCTTGAGGGACCAAAATTTGGGAACCCCCTGTCTAGACATCCCTGCGGGAGCGATAGGAGCGTGGCGGTAAATAGCTCGGAGATCTGGGTAACTGTCAAGGTTGCGAGACGTCTGGGTGGACCACTTTAGGGCCTCCGTGATGGGAAATGAAAAAACTTCTGAAAATGGCTTTCCAGCTAATGGTCTCCTTGAACTACCTCTGAAAATAGTTGAAGTGCTCACATAAACCAAGCAATTTCCAGTGATTTCCAGCAATTGCAAGAAAGAATGTTTGAAATCCATGCTTGCTACGTGTCTGTAGCCTCCTGTAATGGTAACCGTGCATGTTTCAACACTGGGCAGTATTGCGGCAGTGTTAAAAATGGGTTAAGTTCTACCAGAGATCAGGTAAGGCTTTTCAAAACAGTTTCAAAAAAGCAGGACTGCCCTTCTGTGCCAAAGGGCTGTAAAGAAAAAAATAAGGTTCACATTTGTTCAACACGACAGGGTGCATTTTTAATACTGTTTGGATTACTAAAATACTACTAAAATCAGCCTAGTTACCGATGTGTTTGCTGTACCGAGGCTTCCACTAACCTGAAGGAATAAACTCTATGTTAATCCTCATCTAAATTTATGTGCTACAGAAACACTCATGGCTCCATCTTCACCTACAGATTCCACATTACTAGAATCTGTTGCTACTTAGAGGTTAAATATTTAGATTTTATTCTGCTTTTTTCTTTTTGCTTTAAGTTGGAGGCAGTGCAAGTTGAAGGACTCTTAGGCCCTGATCCTGCAATGAGATCCCCATTCATATAAGCATCACTATTGACATTAGGCTGTGGTTTGGCAACGCAGAAAATCCAGCAGTACAACTCCTATTATTGCCTCAAAAATGGGGTGGCCGCATGATGTGAAGCACTGACCTGGTATTCGTTCACTCTGCCTGCTCAAGTTAATTCAAGAAGTTTTTGACAGGTTAACTTTTTACTAGCAGACTTTATGCCAGATCAGGTATCACAGTGTACAACTCCAGCCGGATCAGGTATCGTCTGCACCCTGCGGCTGGCATGCGGCCAGCGTAAAATTGGCGTTGGCTCCGTGTCGTGCGCTCTGGCTCATTCAGCAGAAGCGTGATCATGTGCCTTGGCCCGATCCCGATCAAATTTGTACTCCTGGGTGATCCAGCAATGCGCAGACCTGGTTTTAATGATAGTGGAGCCACAGCCCCACACAGGCGCTGGACCGGGGTGTCAGCCAGTACGAATTCTTTGTAGCATTATTTATTTAGCTTTGTGCTATTGGGGGTGGTGGTTAACCATGGGATTAATACGAAAATGATTAGGGGGTGCAGATTTTGGTGAGCAGCCTCACTGCAAGCCTGCTTCTGTCCTCAGACCGGTCATAGAGCATCACAACCAAAAAGATTCTTCTTCCATGAAGTGAGGAGCAAGTGAAAGGTGCTGTGTCTCGTGGGCTGCGTGGGCCTGCCTCAGGGAGGATTGCTCGGCTGGAGACAGGGGGATCGCTTACGAGGAGGCTGAGTCCAGTAGACATCAGGCAACGCGTGAAAGCAATGTGGTACAAAGGTGGTGGTGGTGTATCTTAGCAATTGTTGCATTACTCATAACTGGCAAAGCTACAAGCAAGTTATACAAGTCATTCTGAAAGAGTGCTAATGAAGTCTTTTCCCCTATTATCCCAAATTTGACTGCAGAATCTTACTGTGGAAATAATGCGGTATTTCCTCTCTCTAAGCCTTCCGTCTTCAAACCACATTTGAGGGGGAGTGGGGAAAGGGCATGCTCTTTAAGGCATAAAAGCTTACCTGAAATACTTTTTTCTTTACATTTTAGCATGTAGTGTCTTTAACGTCTGTTGTGTGTAAGCAGCAAAGGTTAGGAATAGATGATGCATTTTTCGGGAGACCCTGAAGTTCCCTTTCTCACACGTTACACACTTCGAGTGTCTGTGCTTCCTCATGAACAATTAAGATTTACATGTCAAATGGAACAGCCCTGGAATTTGGACTCATAATCCTAAACTACCATGGGGTTTTTTTTAGGGGGAGCACAGAAAGTATTTTTCTACTAGATTTTAATTGCTTGCTTTGTCTAAGTGACACATGTTTGGAAATAGAGGTTTAGAAAGGCAAAGTAAAAGTGCATGAAAAGGGCCGATTTATCACATGGTTGTTCAGCTGATTTTGTGTTTCCAGGAGTAAGGAAGTATGTGCCATGTTTTTTCATGATCTCATACGGTATAAATAGGAGGTGGTAATCACCCTGCGATAAACTGCATTTTATTAAAAAATCCCTGCCTGCCTCATATGCACTCTGACGGCTGATTCTGTCCCCTTGGAACCGTCTCCAGCATTCCAGCCCCTTGAGCAGCTCCCAACAGCCATGCTCTCTTTTTGAAAGGACTTGCCAGATAAATGTTTCATTCTTTTTTTTTCTTACCCAGTTACACCGGTGTTCAGTGGGGGCCAGACAGTTTTGCTTGGCAGGGGTTCAGGAGGATCCGCACACTCGCTTGTGGTTTCTGTGATTGGAAGTAATTCACGCTGATAAAGCTGCACCATTGCCTATCCCGTATCTTTTATTGCATGGTTGGGCATAACATCCACCAGGTCTTTCTGCAGCTCCCATCTCAGTCTGTCCCTATGTGGTGGTTTTGCTCCTCAATTTGCAGGGTAACTTCTAGCTCAAATTAGGCATTTAAGAGATAACAAATACAGAGTCCTTCCATACCCTTCATTTTCTTCTGCCACCCTACTCCATGTGCTTTCTGCATTTTCATGGCTTCAGCTGTGCAATGGAAAACTCATGAGTTTACCCACAGGAATCTTCTTGGCCTTTGGCTTTTTCTTACCTATGGGCAGTGATCACTGGGACTGCTGGAGAGAAATGACACAAACCCGCTTGAACAATGAAGCCTAAGGTTTGCTAACCCTTCTCTCTCTTTTGATCCATTTAACCTTAAATTAATTCCCAATTTCTAATCCCCCATCCCTTGCCTAGCTAACCGTACTCCTTTCCCTGACCTGGCGACTTGAGGGACTGTGTCCCTGCTTGCCTTCCCTTGGAGTTGCTGATCCCTCCCGTTCCCCCACCTCACCGCAATGTCCCACGTCCCAACGCCTGAGAGATGAGAGGCAGCTTCAACCGAGGGAGCGGAGAAGACTGCAAGGAAGGGGTATACAGGCAGCTTGGATTCACAGGCTCCACTCGGTACAGCAATGATGATCGGAGGGATATTGGGCAGGTGGGAGCCCAGCAGGGTCCTCATTCATCCAGACAGCTCTGTAGATCTAAGCTTTCATTTAAAAAGGTGGTACTTTACTTCCTACTCTTGAAAAAAACAAGGCACGGATGGCCTCAGCTTCCCTCGTGTTGCGGAGGCCTTTGGGGTGTAGTCTGTTACAATCCGTTAGCTAATTGCCTGTGACTGGCTGATGTTGGGTTTTCAGTCCTTTTGTCCAGCCCACCACTACATTACTTCTCAGTTTAAAGCATTTCGCTGCAGTCTAAGCTACAGTGAGGAAATTTCTCCTCTCTAAAAAATGCAGCTGGCTTAAGGAGTAGTTCAGCTAACACTGGTTTGGGACTGGTTCAACTTCGAATGTTAGCCATGCTCCAGGGGGTTACAGTTGTCCTTCACAAATTGGCTTCCAGACCTTCTTCATCAGATTTGAAGCGTGTCCATTAAAATCTACTAAGCCTGATACAACCTATGGTCTTAAATTAGGTTTAAAGTTGGTTTAGTGGAACTTCTTAAAAGTCAATTTGGGGAATGATTTTTGTGTATGGATGAGACCAAAACGGTCCTTTTGCACTGCTGACGCCTAAAGGCACCATCTTCGGGCATGGCTCAGCAAAACAAGGGTGCCAGCTTGTCTCGGAGAGAATGTTTCACTCTGAGTGGAGCCCTGGCTATTGCTGTAGAGCTTTTGTGCTGTTAGCAAAGTGTCAGAGAAGCTGCGATGGGGTATTATAGAAGTTCCGTTCCTTTCTTGAATGTAAAGCAGAAATGATCCCCTAGAACTCTTCTGTGAATGTCACCAGTCATTACATGACAGAGATCCCTATTAAGACCTATGCATTTAAGCGTAGGCAGAGCAGATGTGTAACATGCGTATTTTAGATACATAAGCATATATACATATATATGTATGTACACGCATACACACATATATAAATCAGGATACGGCTCTTAAGTGCATGGATTCCCTTTGGAAGTCATGCTGGTCATGATCTTTTTTTTCTGACCAGAGGTTATAAAGAAAATCTAACTAATCAGTGGGTTATTTGGAAATTGTAATATTAGGATCCTCTTGCCTGCAGAGCTTTGTTGTGGAGCTTAGGTCACCATGAAGCTTTCCTTAAAAATAAAAACCAGGTGTTTTTATGTTGATACTTTACATGATACTTTGCAGTTATCATCTCTAATAGGTGCTACATGAGACTGTGTTTTAGGATTACATAGTTCCTCCTGCAAAAAGCAATTCTGGTCTGCTGTGTATTTCCTGGTGTCGGGGATGACTTACTGAAAATGCTGTGAATATGTGGTTAGGTGCTGGGTCAAAATTCAGAGCTGATGTCTCAGTGCAGATTTCAGGTCTAAATTTGAGCCTTTGGGATTTGGGTATTTTCTTCAGGTTTTGCTTTTTCTTGTCAGTCAATAGCTGACAAGAACATAGCCATGCTGATACGAGGAGGAATGGTCAGAGGATGTAAAGCACGGGAGGTCTAGATTATATTCCCAGTTTTGCTATTAAATTGGCCAGTGACTGTTGCTGCCGTAACAGATTGAACCAAGTGTAAACGAAAGGATCGCTTGAAGAACCAAAATAATATATTGTGGTCCAGGCAACTGCACTTGGATGCCGTGCACCTATCATGTATGTCTCATCCGCTCTTGTGGGACAGGACTGTCTGGTGGTTAGAGCAAGCGACCTGGGCCCCTGGCCACAGGTGATTCTCTGACTCCGCTGTGCATGTCACACCCTTTGTGGCTTATACGAAGCTCAGTACTCAGTGGTTAAAATCATCAAAGGGAAAGTGCTGTGGGAGGGCAGGATGTAAAATCTCAAACCTCAGCGCTTGCAGTTCATTGCATTGGGTGCTATTTTAAGTGTTGGGACTTTGACATTTCTTCATTAGCAGCACCAAAGAAGATCGAGATGGTAGAAAATATCTGATGTAATCATTATTATTAGAAGCAGTGGCACAAAAACAAAGAGACCTTTCAGGTAGTAATTGCTTTCATAAGCCATTCCTGGGGATTGAACTCTGAGACCTCTACAACTGGATTGAAAAGGAGCAGCCCCTGCAGTCACAGCAGAAACATGTGTGTCCGACGTGCTGTGGGGTACCTGTTACAGCAGCAGGTTTGTGAAATCTTCTTCTGTGGCAGCTGTTTAGTCCAAAACTGCACAGAGATGTCCGGATGCTGTGTGTGTTTAGCTCCACTGCCAGCCAGCATGTTCAGCCTGGGACAGAGGAGAGGTTCCAGCCTTTGGCTAAGGTTGGAAAAGGGTGGGTGCCGCCTCCCCTCTGCCAAAGGGTTCTAGGGCAGATGTAGCAATACTGGCCAGCTTGAGAGGAAGGGTTATTTGGCTATCAGGGAAGCTTCTTGCTGTCCTCTCTGTCAGAAGCTCCAAGGAAGAAAAGGCATCAGGACCTGGGCTTGTCCCTCTCCAGTGACGCCTTGCATGGGGCTCCAGGAGCCAGGTCCACAGTCAGGTAATTCATATACACTTGTAATAGAGTTAGAGGCAACCTCAGACGGAGGTAAGGCTCCCTCGGCCCGGAGAGAGTATGGATGTAGCTGTGTGGTTCTTAAAACACAAGATTTTTATACCCATGCATTACTGCAGCATTACTTTTAACTATTGACTCCTCCCTCTCTGGACCGTGGCCACCAGCACATTTTCAGGTAGTAAATAGCATTCTAAAATTGGCAGTTCACTTAGAATTGGACAGTTATGTCACCTGCCCTATGAACATCAGCTCGGAGGTAAGATCTTAGAGGAAAACTGAAAAATAGGGCAGCACTGTTGTGGAAACACTCTGTGAAAATCAGAGTTGCAGTCAAAGCCTGGCACAGACTTAGAAAACAGTTTTATACAGAAGTCAGGATAAAGATACAAAATACGATTTTGTACTTAATGGAGGGTTTGCATTCATTCTGGCCAAAGGAAGGTTACTTTAACATCTACAAGTAACAGCACAGAAACTGTTGGTGCTGAAGTCCCCTGATTTTCTGAAAGTTTTCTGCTGCAGCTCCAGGGGTTGCACAGAGAAGTGGTGGCAAAAGGAGGTGCCTTTCAGAAACTGCTTTTGTTGTTGCTTCTGTTCTTGAGTACGTGTGGACACTCTAAAACCCCATTCAAATTGCTAAATTCACCTACGCGTGTTATCTGCCTGTGCATGACAAAAATCTTGAAAATCCTCTCTCAAGGTGCAGGGGTAAAGTTAAGGGCAGACGCAAACGGGGTGGGAAGAAAGTATAGAGTTCACCATGTTGGAAGTAGAAATACAAACGGGTAAAACAAGATCTGTGTTTTACACTAGTTCTTTCAACTTGTTTCTAAGTATTCAGAAAAAACACAATAATCCTTTGCCTACAGTACAATGTAAATTAATCTTCTATGTGACCAGACCCTGTCATGTACAATGAGAACACAACTTTCTTTAATCCAGATGGTTCCAAATTTAAAAAAAAAGTGTGCGCAGTAAAACATAAGCTAGAAATACTGCTTTTACTCCTCTCCCCCCCCCCCCCCCCCCCCAGCATCCATGCTGACTAAATTATGTGAAAAAGCCGCTTTCTTTCCACTATTTCACCCCTGAGATCTAGTATTTTCCTAGTCTTGTCGGTGTTGTTGTTCCACACTTTTTGCCAGAAATCCTGGTCTGTATTCTTTATGTTCCTTTTGGAACAGTGAATCCTTTCGTAAGAAGATTATTCCTCGATGCCCCGAAGCAGGAAACATAAACAAAAATCTTCAGGTATATTGAAACCCCTGAAAATATTTATAGAATGGCAGTGGTTGCCAGGACATGGGAAACAACCGGTAACTAAATAATACTCCTTTGCATATCCGTAGCCCTCTCCTTCGGCAAAATGAGAGGTCTATGTAATCATGTAATACCAGCAGCTTCGTAGCATTGCGGGTTGCTTCGCAGATTTTAGGCCTGCTGCATCTGTGATGAAGCTGAGCCCCCAAACATATCTTCTGCATGGATGGGAAGTTAGTACCTGCGGCTTAACTTTGAAATCCTGGCTGTGTGGGCTCACGCTGTCTCACGCTAGGTGCCCAAAAGTATAGGCATGAAATCAGTTTTTGGAAACTTTGGGGCTGAGCGACTTTCCAGCATCACATGCTGGGTTTGTTGCAGGGCCAGGAATACAGCCCGGATCTCCTGGCTCCCTACCCACCGCCTGGACAGCAAGGCCAGTCCTCAGCTCCGTTTCAAGGGATCCTAGAGAGCACTGGCATTTTAGCAAGTCAGCTGGCAACTTCGCTGTGTTTTGTTTAGAATGGTTCGCATTCTTCCATCTAATTCCCACACTGAAAATTTCCAGCTTCCTATTTTCCCCGAGCTGTCCCAGCAAGTCGTATTGAATATGCAGATGTGATGGCACACACTCACACACGTGCTTTTCCTGAAGCAACCCCTCAAAGTTTGTTCTGGATGTTTGTTTTACTCTGGTTCCTCTAATCCCCAAAGTGACATTATACAGATTTTTTTGTTTAACCTTTGTATGAAACATTCGCTCTCCCTTTATTTGTGAGGATGTGCGGTTTTAGTTACATTTCGTTATATTCCCTTGTGCGTGGAGGAGACACTGTGTAAATGAAAACATATTATAATTATTACACACCACGCACAAATGTCTTCTCAGACATATCCCATACATGCCTTCCCTAGAACATATTTTTTGAATGTGCACATCATGTAATAAATAACGGCTTTCACTCTGGGAGCGTTTAGCAATATAAAGGCTGTCCACCCGAAATGCTTTGGAAATACATTTCAAAGGCAACTGAAATTGTGACCGAGAGCAGGAATAGGAGCTGGGAGGATTGCTGCCCTGTTTCTTAGTGATGAATCTCTCGGTACAAAACCGGCACTGGGCTTGACCGAAGAACTGCACGCTGTCAGCATGAGTGAAGTAAAGACAATGAAAGAGCTGGCTTC